GGAAGCTTTGGAAAAAAATTCTACATGGGAGATGGTTCCTTTACCACATGGGAAGAAACCAGTTGGATGCCGATGGATATACACTGTTAAGTACAAAGCTGATGGATCCATAGACCGATACAAAGCTCGATTGTTGGCCAAGGGGTATACACAAACATATGGGATTGACTACCAAGAGACGTTTGCACCAGTTGCCAAAATCAACACTGTACGTGTTCTCATATCCTTGGCTGCAAATCTTGACTGGCCACTACTGCAATATGATGTAAAGAATGCATTTCTTCATGGGGACTTACAAGAAGAAATATATATGGATCCACCACCGGGGATTCCTATGACATCCAGTCCTAATACCGTATGCAAGCTGAGAAAATCTCTGTATGGGCTAAAGCAATCACCTCGAGCCTGGTTTGGGAGATTTACTGATTCCATGAAGCGATTTGGGTACACTCCGAGTAGCTCAGATCACACATTGTTCTTGAAGCGTCGTGGTGGAAAGCTTACGGCTCTGATAATCTATGTAGATGATATGGTGGTTACCGGTAATGACAATGAAGAGATTTTGAATCTACAGAAGCTCCTTGGAAGCGAATTTGAGATGAAGGAATTGGGTGAGTTACAATATTTTCTTGGCATTGAGGTTGCTAGATCCAAACATGGCATATTTTTATCCCAAAGAAAGTATGTGTTAGATTTGTTGACAGAAACAGGAATGCTGGATTGCAAGCCAGCTGACACACCTATTGAACAAAATCACAAGTTGGGAATGTATCCAGCTCAAGCTCCTACTGATAAAGAAAGGTATCAAAGGTTAGTTGGGCGATTGATTTATCTATCCCACACACGCCCTGACATAGCTTATGCTGTGAGTGTGGTAAGCCAATTCATGCATCAACCAAGTGAAAAAAAGATGAATGGGGTAATACGGATAATGCGATACTTGAAGACTGCCCCTGGAAAAGGATTGATGTTCTCCAAACATACACACATGGATCTTGAAGGATACACTGATGCTGATTGGGCAGGGTGTATCACAGATAGACGTTCAACTTCTGGATATTTTACATTTGTGGGTGGCAACCTAGTTACTTGGAGGAGTAAGAAACAAAGAGTTGTAGCAAGATCCAGTGCTGAAGCAGAGTTTAGAGGAATGGCTCAAGGAGTATGTGAATTGCTTTGGTTGCAGAGATTACTAAAGAATCTTGGCATTAAACAAGTGAATGCCACAAACCTATATTGTGACAATAAAGCTGCGATCGAGATAGCACATAATCCAGTACAACACGACCGTACTAAACATGTGGAAGTCGATCGACACTTCATCAAAGAAAAACTGGAAAAAAAGATGATTAAGTTTCCGTTCGTAAACTCAGAAAACCAACTTGCTGATATTCTGACAAAGGCAGTGTCAAGTAAAGTTTTCTATGAGTCTGTTAACAAGTTGGACATTTTCAAGTGTCTGATAGAAGCACTGGAAACCTCATCTACCCTTTTCCCTTTTAGATAGCAATGGAACGTTGGCTGCAGCAAAATGCACACATCAGCAGAGTAATATTCCATTTTAAGATAAAATCACGGCTGAAATATATTCACACAGCTTGAACAAAACGCTTAGCCCATTTTCCCAGATAAGCATAGCCTGTTTATAGTTTTCTAAATTATTAATTAGGATATGGTAAGAAATACAAGCCAAATTCAGAAAGAAAAGGTCAAAAACACATGAGAAATTACATCATGTGCAGACATGCATTCAAACAAAATAGAAGGATCGAATCATTTACCATCTTATGAATTCCCAACTTGTCTAATCTGGATCCAGCGATATTCTACAGATAGAATAAACGTCAGGTCTACAAGTTTAGAGGCATAACAAGAAATAAACGTCAGCGATATTCTATACTTGTTAAATTTCAATTTTATATAGTATAGCCGCGCGGCTATACTTCTAAAAAAGACCTAATGAAAAAATGAAAAAAAAAAACATGTCCCAAAGAAATTTCGTCGGCCCAATTATATGCGGGTAAATATTTGACGGATTAGACCTCCCCTGACAAACTCTACCTCTACCGACGAAATATTGTCAAGAGAGAACAGTCCGGCAAATATAGGATATATCTTTGCCAACGAAATTTTGTCTGGAGAGATTTTTTTTAAAAATAAATATAAACCTAGTATCTTTAGGTCAATAATTGTTTTTAAATTTTCTTTTTAGTAATTAAATAATATCTTAGCCTGAAAAAATTACTTGAATTAGTAATTATGTTTTAATTATTGTTTCTCTAGTGAATAATTAGTATTAAATATTTTAATTAACTTCATAAATTATATTAATTAATGTTTTTCTTTAATAAAATATTTGAATACTAATTATTAACTAAGTAAATAATAGTTAAAACATAACTACTAATTATAGTGATTTAAGATGAAAAAGTCAGATTATTATGCTATTTAAGGGGTATAGCCGCACGGCTATACGTTTAATATATTCTATTTATAGAGTATTGCCGCATGGCTATACCTGTAAAATTTCTATTTATAGAGTATAGCCGCGCGCGTAAAATTTCTATTTATAGAGCATAACCCCACGGCTATATTAGTAAAATTTCTATTTATGGAGTATAGTCGTGCGACTATATTTGTAAAATTTCTATTTATAGAGTATAGTCTGGCATGTATATACATAAAGCCAAGGCCAAGAGGGATTGATAAAATCACACAAGCCCCCAAGTCCCTCTTTAAGAACAACTTTATGGCTGGGAACTTGAAAGTAGAACCAGTGTTGGCTGAGCCTAGCCGTGGTGGAGTCCTTATTGTGGTGTAGGAACAAGTTTTTGCTATGCTACTTTACTATAAACCACTCCATACATTATATTCATTACTCTATTGTTAGCATGCATTAGCCACTGCACTATTTATTATCACTTATTGTTTCACACAACGATGATCGGTATTGATGGCAGATTGTGACGATGATTCCATTGAAATTTGAATATCAATAAAATCCCTCAAATTAGGAAATTAGAGAAAATTTGAATTCATGGGAGATATGTAATTATGATTCCTATTATGAGATTTGAATGTCAATAAATCCCTAAATAACTATTTTAATTGTTTTAATGACATATTTACCATTATTGTTTCGTAATAAATGGAAACGTTGAACAAATACAGGTAATAATAGCAGCTGGACAAATATTTTGGTATTGATGGCAGATCCATCGATCCCTGATGATTCGGCAACACTCAACACTCCAGGCAGTGATGTTTCAGGAAACCTACTTCGAAGTACCTGAACAAGTCCTCCATCACTCTCCTAAAAACAAGTGTAACTACTACAAAAAACGAAATAGACGACGGGGATCCACCGTCGTTGTAATGCTTTGAAAACCGTCGTTAAATCGACCGCCATCTTTTTGGTTGTCAAACTACGACGGCTTTTCACCGTCGTTGTTTATCTGTAAAGACGACGGTTTTTAAAGAAAATCGTCATTGTTTAGAGGTAAAGATCGTTAATTATATGAGGAAAGATGACGGTTTTTAATAAAATCGTCGTGGATTGTAGGTTAAGTTGACGGTTTTTTATGAAAACCGTCGTGGATTGTAGGTTAAGAGGATAATTGTTTTATAAAAACCGTCGTTAATTATCTATAAAGCCAATGGTTGGTTTATAAAATCCATCGTTAATTATCTGTAAAGACCATGATTTATTATGAAAACCGTCGTCTAACAAGTTCCCAAACTGCTACATTTTAGTTCTTTTTTATTTCATATGCTATACAACGATTTTAACTAGAAAACCAACCATAATGCTTTTATTAATGAATATATACACTCAAAAATAGTTTCTTTCATAAAACTTGAAGATTCAATAGTTATTACATAGTTAACCAATCTTTATTCTACAACAAACATAATTCCTACCAATTAAATATAAATATTCAATCGATACATATGGTAATTAAGTAGTACAATCTTTTCCTAACAAGACCAACGTACTCTTAATCCAAGCCTTCCTCATCCAAACATACAAATGATGCACAACTGAAGTCTCCTCCATCATCCCTGTAAATAAATCAAAATGACAGAGAGAAAAAAAAAAAAGCTAAGATTATAAACATATAAAATTAGGTGGAAGAGAAATTTTACCACTGGACCATATTTCCATAGAAAACTTGTAAAATGAACATAAAAAAAAACCATCGAGAACCTGCAAAAGGAAAAATATATAAATAAAATGATGGTGAAAAGAGAAGGTAACAAATTTTCAACAACTAAAAAACATACGACTCACATAGAAAACCTACAAAAGAAAAAGTTATAATTCTGCAAGCTTCCGCCTCATCTCCTGAGAACCAAATCAGAAAATCTAAAAAGAAACCAGAAATATAAAAAAAATATGTAAACAAACCAGACAAATGAAGAGAGACAAAATCTAAACTCAGGGAGACAAAGAACATACCATAAACGCAAAGAGACTAATCCAGAATTCACTAGCAAGATATAGAAGGGTATTGAGAGATTAGGTAACTTTCATATCAAACCTTTCAACCAGCTTTGATTCTCAAATACAGAACCTCCCTCTCCATCTTATGGATCTGCAAAGACCTCAATCTCTCAACTCCTTCATTGATACCGATTTTTTGATGATTTTGTAAAGAGTTTCATGAGGGTGTTTTAGAGAGCTCAGGAGGGTTTCAAGGAGGGAGAGATAATATTTTCAGAGAAGGCACTACTACAAAAAACGAAATAGACGACGGGGAGTTACCGTCGTTGTAATACTTTGAAAACCGTCATTAAATCGACCGTCATCTTTTGGAGTATCAAACAACGACGGCTTTTCCCCGTCATTGTTTATTTGTAAAGACGACGGTTTTTAATAAAACCGTCGTTGTTCTTATGTAAAGACGACAATTTTTTGATAAACCATCATTATTTATTGGGCAAAGACGACGGTTTATAAAAAAAACCGTCGTCTTTACATATAATAGACGATCCTTTTTCATTAGCAAGTGTAATACAAGTGGTGGTGTTATGAAATTTACATGAAAATCGAACAAATCAGCTGGATGATCCAAGTTTTGAGAAGATCCGTCACAGTTTGAAATTATTTTGATGTCTGGATAGGCACGTTTTATAGCACCATAGAACTTAAGGTAATTTCCTGGTCAAGAAAAAGAGGAAAAGCATAAGCTTTGTTGAGAATATAAAATCCTCTATTATATATATTACATTGAATCACAAAATTTAAAATTCAAGGTCCCTGCATCCTCTGCCAATTGCTTATGTGTTGGATGTGCAACTTTAACATGTGTTAGGCTGGCCAGATGATTCGCTCAGCAATTTACAAGTAGATCCTATGTGGAAATTGTCCTTTAGAATTCTACTCTTTTGAGAATTTTACTCCATCGTCTTTACATATAATAGACGACAGTTCTTTTAAAAAAACCGTCGTCTTTACATATAATAGACGACGGTTCTGTAAAAAAAAAAATCGTCATCTTTACAAAAAAAAAGGCCACTTGATTTTTAAAAGATGACGCTTGTGACTAACAAGCGTCGTCTTTAAAAATCAAGTGACCTTTTTTTTGTTCAGCGTGTTTTAAAAGACGACGCTTGTTAGTGACAAGCGTCGTCTTTTAAAAATAATCTAACTCTAGTCAGTGGCGTAGCCAGGAATTCGCTCAAGGAGGGTCAACATTATTAGCCAAGATAAATGGAAAAGCCATACCACCACTAGACTTGGACTAGGATGGTTTAGAGGAGAAGAAAAATGCATACAAGGATGTGCCATGAGAATAAAACTATGAGATAATAGATTAACAACCTAAAATCTTAAGTATCCATTGTTTTTCTACATAAATATTTTAGAATAAGTTCAATTATATAAGAAAACTTTGATGGTTGTTGTTCCAAAAATATTTAATGGGTTTTAAGACAATATTGGAAGATGTTGCTAATTAAACTGAACATGAATAAAAACACTTACGTGGTAGAAGGTCAAACCAGTTGCTCTCCTACCCACTTACATGGTAGAAGGTCAAATTGTTTTATGTAAAAATATTGACTAAGTATGAAAAATGGGTTTCCGGAATAATCATTTTCTGAAGATAATTTTTGGCGGCTTTTATTCCTCACACATCAAATAAGAAAACTTGATTTTATGAGATTTTAGTATGAAATATATATTGACTTAATGAGCCATCATTTTTAGCCTAAATCGTATTTTACACTAAAACCGATTTTTCATATTTTGATTTGGTGGGAATTTGATTTTCTAGTATTTTTATTTGAATCCAAATGGGGGGTACTTCCTTATTTACATTGTAAACTTAAGTAAATGGAGTAATATAAAAATAAATAAAAGTAAAATGACAAAGACATTTACTTAAATGTTGAAAGTGGAAATAAGGTAATCTGTACACCGTCACTGACTAGGCTACAGGCCACTGTAGCCCTTAGTGTGGTTCCGCCCTTGTGCTTCATGCATTCTTTTCTCAAGGTCAAGTTGAAAATATTGAGCAAACAAAAGCCTAAACTGTAAGTGTTACCATTGGGTCAGAAGGGTCATATGACCCTCCTAGGCCTTAATTGGCTTCGCCCTTGATTCTAGTAGTGTATAAGATGATATATCATAACGGTTTTAAAAACACCGTCGTCTTTTAAAATATAACGACGGTTTTAAGATGCACCGTCATCTACTTTGTGTCATGGTTTAACTATTTTGTAATAGTGTGTAGTGATGTGTTGATCTTATCTGTTTGACTATAAAGTAACCTTCTGATAAAAACAAATTTATATAAGGATCGGATCATTTACCCTCTTGTATGGAATTCCAAATATGTCCAATGGGCATTTAGGGCCATTCTGTATAAACAATAAACAACGTCAGGCCTACTGATTTAGAGGCACAACAAAATATAATATCACGATTCTTCTATAGGCAGCTGCATGTCGGATCTTAATTATGCTTACCTCACACCAATGTCTTAAAAATCGAAATTGTCGCCGAAATATCGGAGATAATTTCATTTTTTTCACATGCCGATACTCTGGGCACAAACCATACAGTTTTCGTCCGAATGTCGATAATGTCGCCGAAATTGTCGGCGAAATATCATTCTCGATAGTATCGAACAATGTCTTAAAAATCGAAATTATCGCCGATATTTTTCACATGCCGATACTCTGGGCACAAACCATACAGTTTTCGTCCGAATGTCGAGAATGTCGCCGAAATTGTCGGCGAAATATCGTTCTCGATAGTATCGAACAGCTTCAACACAAAACCGTTGTTGTCAAAGCCAAGAACTTTAGTCTCCTCCTCGTTCATCTCCAGATCTTGAGCAAAGATGGGTTTTCTGGAGAGGATCCAAGTCCAACCCCAGAGCCACCATTTTCTTATGGACCCTCCTGCATACTCTCCCATGGCGGAAACCGATTTGGATCTGCTCAAGGCCCATGATGTTGCAGGGGATGAGATGGGCTGGAGCTTGAGGGAGATAGAAGAGAGCCTCCTGCGCAGGCCTGGCTGCTCTGTTAATGGATCTTGAAGGCCTTGTGAGACGCTGGGAGTGATTGGCTTGGGGGCAAGGTTGGAAAATCTGAAGCAAGTTGTTGTTGCTGTTGGCTCTGTTTTGAAAGCTCTGCAAAATTTGAGCTCAAGAAGAAAACAGAGAGAAGAGAATGATGAAATGTGTGTTTTGGGTTTTGCGTTGTGTTTTTGTTTTGTTTTTAGAAGGAGGTGGTGAGGTGAAATGTAGCGTTCACAGCTTCATCACAGGCTGTTCTTATTCGTGTTGTGGGGGGGCCTGTGAGGTGGTGGGGTCCATGGAGTTCTAATTCAGCATTTTCTCCTCTGTGATGGGTGACAGGGTGTGGAGTTTCTCATCATCGTTTAGAATTTATTATACTTTTCGCGATAATTTGAGGTCTTAATTTGGTTTTGAGTCCAAAAAAGTAAACAAGAAGTTCTTAATTTGGGTGATGATTAGGAGATATTTTTCAATTTAGCTGGAGGCAATAGATAAACTTTGCAGTGTTTGCCAGCTCGCTATATAATCAACAAAATCAGTTAAATCCATCATGCAATGTATTTCCTTCCAATTTTTTTTGATAAACTAATAGATAATTAACTAAATAAACATCCTGCAAAGTTTCAATAAAAATTTCCAAGTTTTCTTACAATTTCCGTGGTTTTTATTCAATTTTTATCGATATCGATAATATCCCGATATTTCCATCAAATTTTCCGTGTTTTTAGCTTACCGATATTTCCGATACAATCGATATTTAAGACCTTGCCTCACACAAGCAGAAATACGCTACAACCTTTTTTTTTTCTTTTTTTTTTCCTTTCACTAACTCTGATTTTATGCTTGCAAAAAATAGGCCCTTTTTATAGGGTAATTGGTACATGAATCTGGAAAGATCCACATTAACACACTTGGTAATTCTAAAGATATTTATTACACCTAATACCGTAACATTAATTATGTGACATAGGGAGACTCAAAGACAGTAAACCTTAGGGGTTGGGGGAGAGAGACGGGGTTACTGGGTTGCGGGTGCATGTTTTTTTAAAATATTTATACCTGTTTGAAAAGTTTTAAATATTATATTGTTTTTTTTGTCCACATAATACATCAGAAAATATAACAATGAAGTTGATGGATGGAGTAATTTGATAATTTAAAAACGTTGGATATGAAATTGATGAAATTGAAACCTCATGGCCTATTTCGATATGGCAGCTAACCCTCGAGGGGGTAAAATGTCGTTATAATTTTTAAAAATCAATTAAAACGTAAGAAAAAATCAATTGATGAAATTGAAACCTCATGACAGCTAACCACCACAACTACCATCAGCACTCTCTCTCTCTCTCTCTCTCTCTCTCTCTCTCTCTCTCTCCGATCCAACCCACCCATGCCTACAACTCCTCCATCCATCTCCGTCTCTATTTCCCCTCTTTCTCTCTCTGTTTTTGTTCAATGGAGATTTGAGAGAGGGCTTGGAAAGTCCTGGGGTTTTGTTCTTGGTCCTGTTTTTGTTGTTCCAAGGTGGTGGGATGGATTTGTCTAAGGTCGGCAAAAAAATTCTGATCTCCGTTGGGATAGAAATAACACTATTATATTGACATAATTGCTAAGAAAGTAGAAAATCCAAATATTGGTAAAGGACCCCCTATCTAGTGTAGTGGTTTGGAGCAATTGCTCCCCCATAAAAGGTCTTGGGTTCGAGTCCTAGCATATGTGTAGTGTGTATAAGTTTAGTACACGATCGCCCCTCCTTTCAATAGGAAATGTCCTAAAAAACAACAAATATTAACCTTTTGATCAAGGTAAAAGGAAAAAAATTGAGAAAGAGGGAACATAAATGATTTAATTGCACTTGACATACATTATCTGAAATTTTATCCATAAAAACAAATCACCATTTTCTATCAAATAAAATGAACAAAAAAGAAAAAATTATTTTTCAGTCTACATGAAAAAGAAGGATTAGAATAGAGAAAACAAAGCAATCAAATGAAAGAAAAAAAACTCAAAAAGTAAAAGGGTTAGAAAAGTACTTGGTCTTGCAAGGAATTGACCAGTTCCTTCCCCGGAATTAAAAGAGGAGGAATTGACCAGTTCCTTTTTTTTTCTTTTTTTTCTTTTTCTAAAGCCTGGCTCAAAACGACGCATTTTGAGCCCAGGTCATTAAAAAAATTTGAATGCGCCTGGACCAAAACGATGGCCAAAAGGTGCTTTACAAAAAAATTAGAACCTTGTGCGCGCATCTTTTGGCCTTTGGGGACTTTCGTCAAGCAAGTTGTGTGCACACTTGGGGTCACGCATCTACTAGCCAAGGGGTCGCCTGAGACCTCCACAGCCATTTTTCAGTCATCCAAGGGGTCGTGCAACCCCTCTTGTCCCTTAGTGCATACCCCCTGGTGTTACATCGCAAGGTCCGCACGAGGGGGCAAGGTGTCGGTAGCAAAAGCTATAATAAGGGTTGGGGGGAGAGAGAGGGGGTGATGGTGCATGTTTTTTCTTTTTTCTACATGTTATAAATTTTTAAAAATTAAATAATATTTTTAAAGAATTTTATATTGTTTTTTTTACGCAACACATCCGCGTAAAAGTAGGTACCACAATTGTCACATCACCAATTTAACAGAAAATCTAACAGTGAAGTTGACGGAGGGCGTAATTTGGTGAAATTTAAAAACGTTGAATATGAAATTTATGAAATTGAAACCTCATGGGAGGAGGTAGGAGGCATAAGAAATGGCGGGGTCGGGGGAAGAGAAGGGATCGCCTGGGGGAGGGTAGAAGAAATCACAGGAGGAGGGAGAAGAAATGGAGGAGGAGAGAAGGAATCACTAGGGGGAAGGGGAGGAGAAAACACCAGGGGTGGGAGGGAATAAAAAAAAGGATATCTTAATAATATTGATGCTAGAAGCGGGTATATAAATAAAAAAAGGATATCTTAATCCAGCACCACACAAGTCTAAACCATAGACAGTGTCAAACAACGTTACATGTACCATGATACAAGTACTTCCAGTTCATTCCTTAGCCATTTCACTCTTAATCCATTTGCGCTTGGCTTCAGGATCTTTCAATTTACAAAACATCTCTCTCTTCTTTTTACTTGAAAACAACCCTTTGGCAAACCACCACATCTTGTCCCTTGCCCTCTTCTCCTCATCAAATGGCATCTTGTCCGCATCATCTGTCATCTCTTCCTCATCATCAAAATCAAAAATTACTTGTCCAAGTTCGGCCATCACAGGAAATGATGTTTCAGGAACCAAACTTGGGAGTACTGCAACAAATCCTCCATTATTCTCATCTTTCTTACCTTGTCTTTTCCTTTTCTTCATCCCAGATGGACTTTACGTACATTGAGTAGCAAGTACAGCAGATGAGAAAATTCAACAATAGGGTCAGTTTAGTAACTTGCTATATCATTCATCCATTTATCACAAAGATAGAAATAAAAACATATAGAAAGATCACATCTTGACTTCAACAACAGTGAAAAACCGACATGGGCACCAAAATATGACTCCATTCACAAATACACAAATTCAAGCAGAAGTAGGGTAACCGAGAGAAGAATTACTTGTAGACATTTTCAAGTCTCTTTTTCAAGTGTTTGATAGAAGCACCGGAAACCTCATCTACCCTTTCCCCTTTTAGATAGCAATGGAGCATTGGCTGCAGCAAAATGCACACATCAGCAGAGTAACATTCCATTTTAAGAAAAATTCAGGGCAGCTTGAACAAAACGCTTAGCCCCCATTTTCCCAGATAAGCATAGCCTGTTTATACTTTTCTGAATTATTAATTAGGATATGATAAGAACTAGAAGCCAAATTTTGAAAGAAAAGGTCAAAACACATGAGAAATTACATCACTTAACAAAGTGCATACATTTACATTCAAACAAAATAGAAGGATCGAATCATTTACCGTCTTGTATATTCCCAACTTGTCCAATCTGGATCCAGCGATTTTCTATAGATAGAATAAACGTCAGATCTACTAGTTTAGAGGCATAACAAGAAATAATATGATGATTCTTCTATACGCAGCTGCATGGCGCATCATAATTAGAGTACGGAAAAAAATAACTGCATGAGCAAGCATGAATGCATAGCTAATGAAAAAATACATAAATTTTATCAGGTGCACGATTAAGTTATCTTTAACCCAGAACAAACTGATCCGAGCAGACAAGCATGGGATAAAACCCACTATGCCTCAACTCGGAAAAGACAATTTTGATTACTTCTCAGTATCAAGGACTGTCAAATATATTCACCAACAATTTATCGATTGTTCCCTGGAATCCCAACCAATTTAAGATGAAAGGTGAAGTGGTATTGATCTTATCTGTTTGATTTAAGTAACCTTCTGATAAAAACATAATAGAAGGATCGAATCATTTACCACTTCATCATAAACTCCACGCAAGTCAACAGGGAATGCAGGGCCATTCTATAGAAAATAAACAATGTCAGGTCTATTCATTTAGTGGCACAACAAAATATAATATCTTGATTCTTCTATGAGCAACTGCTTGTCGGATCATAATTAGAGTACGAAAACAAACCGAACATCGTTAGGTCCCGAATTCCGTGAGAACAAATTAATGCATGACATAATCAAGCGATTACTGCGTAGCTAATGAAAAAGACATTTGTTTTATCATGTACCAGATTAAGTTATCTTTCACTCAAAAGAAAAAGCTCAGACAAGATGACAAGCATAGGATAAAACCCTCTATGTCTTGTTGCAGTATACATTTTTATTTCATTTCAACTGTTCAGGGAAACTCGAAGAAGAAAATTTAATTTCTTCTCAGTATCATGGAATTCAAGGTAAAGTGTAGTATAGACTAAATTACATTGGGAATGTAAAAGGTCTAAAATTGTTAGCAATTTAGATTTTTCAGGATTTGTGGGACTACATTTGTATTGTTGTATACGGGGACTTCTTGTCTATGGTGATGTATTCATAATATCAGTTTGATTAAAGTAACTTCCTCTACATCGTATCAATCAAAGAAAACATTTTTTTTCCAAAGACAACAAACTAGTTCACAAAACACAATTTTGATTACTTCTCAGTATCATGGACTGTCAAATATATTCACCAACAATATTTCTACTGTTATTACAAAAGAAAAGGCAACATCTTCCCCTGAATCCCAACCAATTTGAGATGAGAAGTGAAATGTAGAATAGTATAAACTATAGTGATGTATTGATCTTATCTGTTTGATTAAAGTAACCTTCTGATAAAAACAAAATAGAAGGAACGGATCGTATACCCTCCCGTGAGGATCTCTGAAAAAGGCCAATGGGCATTTAGGGCCATTCTGTAGATACAATAAACAACGTCAGGCTACTAATTTAGAGGCACAACAACATATAATATCATGAT